AGCCACCATTGGACCCGACAGTATCTCAGGGGTGTGGACGGAGGGAAGGGGCTGCAGATGCTGAGGCCGGCGGGAACCAGGTTTGGGACGCAGCACATTGCTGTGTCCCACCTGGTGGAGTTGCGGTCAACGCTGGTGAGCATGGTGCTCTGCGATGCATGGAAGGCGGAGTGGGCGGTGGGCCCAAAGAAGGCAGCTGCAGAGACATTCCACGACCAGATCATGGATAAGGACTGGTGGCCAGCGGCTGAGCTCTTCAAGAGGCTGCTCCTGCTCCCGTTCAAGGCCATGAGGGCGACGGATTCGGCAACGAAAGGGATGATGGGCCGCATCTATGAGCTGATGCTTGAGCTCACTGTGAATGTGGCAGAACTGCTGAAGGAGGAGGGGGATGGGGTGCTGAGTGCGGGAGACAAGAAGGGCGTCAATGAGATTGTGAAGCGGCGTTGGGATGAGAGTATGGCTTGCCCACTGCACGTGGTCGGGCGGATTCTTAACCCGGTCAACCAGGAGGAGCGGATTTTTGGGCCGGACACGGAGTGCACCAATGTGTTCAAAGCTTTCATTGCCCGCCACTATGACGGGGTGATGATTCCCCAGAGGGATGGCCTGCCCAAGCGTGCCACACTCCTCCTGCAGGAAGGGTTGGCCGCCTTTCTGAAGTTGAGGGGCAGCTTCGGCACGGCTGAGGCCATCAGTGACCGGAAGTTGGTGAAGGAAGGAAGTTATTCCATGGAGGCGTGGTGGGAGTGGCACGGCACTGACCACCCCTTGCTCATGGCCCTTGCTTGCCGAGTGCTAACTCAGCCGGTGTCTGCATCCAGCTGCGAGCGCAACTGGGCGGTGTGGGATACTGTCCACACCGCCCGACGCAACCGGCTGGGTTCAGAAAAGTGCAAGGATCTGGTTTACGTTGCGCACAACTGGAAGGTTGTGCACAACTGGCACATGGCCGACGAGGGGGCGGGGGTGGTGTCCGGTAACATCCCGGACGCCCCCGTCCCTGCGGGGTACAGGGTGGATCGGGAGGAGGAGGATGAGGAGGGCGAAGATGAGGAGCTGCTGGACGAGTACCTGTAGAGCAGAGTAGGAGAGGGTTAGGCGGGCGGTTTGGGGGAGGCTTACCTGAGATGGGTGGTTGGCTGGTTGTTGGAGTTTGGAACCCTTGACATGCCCTTGGTGGCTTGAACTATTTATTAATTACCATGCTAAATGATGCCACATTTGGTGGGGGGAATTTGGTGCTCTGAACCCCCCCTCTTCCCTCCCCAAACAGGTTTTTTTTACCCCTGCCCGAGTTGTTTTTATACCTGCCCGCCAGAGCGTATTTCCTAGCGTATCCAATCCCATAATGAAGCGTACAGCGTATATACGCTAGCGTATAATACGCTTGCGTATAATACGCTGGACGCGTATTTCTCCACTTAGGTTGTAGTAGGCCGATTTGATACCCAGGATGGTGAAATACTGCGCCCCTCGAAGCTGGTCCAGGATCTCGTCAATCCTCGGGAGGGGAAAACGATCTGCGCTCTTGGTGATGGCATTCAGCTTCCTGTAGTCGATGACGACTCGAATGCCGAAGTCTTTTTTTGGTATAACGAGGCATGGGGCAGCCCATGGGCTGTGAGACGGACGGATCACGCCTTGATCCAGAAGAGTTTTGACCTCCTTTTCAATCAGCTCCTTCTCAGCCGGGGCCGCACGGTATGGCTTGTGAGCGATCGGATTTTCGGTGACGGTCTCGATGTGGAGTTGCAGATGGGGGTAAAGTCCGATTTGGTCACTCTTGGTCGCGAAAATCAGCAGGAATTCGGTGAGCATCTCGCTGAGTTGCTTCTTCTGCTCCTCATTCAGCTCCGGCCCGACTGGTGCTGGAATGTCGGGGTGGACGGTCTCAAGGACATCTGCCGGTCCTTGAGTCTTGAGCGTGTAATAGCTGTCGAGCAGGATGGTGTCGCCCTCCTCCTGTTCGGGCATCTCGTCCGCAGCTTCGGGGTAATCAGAATAATCGATTTCAGAGTAATCTTCCCCCCACGCAAGCTCGGAGGCACCGGACTCCGACTCGGAATCCGTATTGTCGTCCAGGTGCTTCAGGTGCTCCATTGCCATGTATTGCGGGTGGCCGTCGTTTGTCTTTCCGCAGAGGATCGGAATAGACTCCACTTCTTTCGGGTTGAGTTGATATGCCAGGGTCCTCTCACCGAAATTGATTGAAGCACCAGCGGGTACCAGCCAATCGTTCCCAAGGAGCATGTCGTAGCTAATCGCTCCAGTGACTGGGACGTCGACGGGAAGGGTGAGCGACCCAACGCGGATGGGTACGTTCCTCAGGATACCCCACGGCTTCGACTTGTCTCCGCTCGAAGTCATGAATTCGATGTTGCATTTTTCGAGGTACTCGAGTAGTCCGAGGCGGCGGACTACGACGTGGGATAAGGTGGTCGTTGATGCGCCTGAATCGACGATCGCCATCACATTGTGTCGGCCGATCTGGACTGGGCACTGGACGACCGAATAGGAGGCTATTGCGGGCTTGACGGTCTCCTTTTGAATCGCGAAAGAGGGTTGGAGCATGGCGTTGGTTGCCATGGGAGCACTCGTCGATGGTCCTGGTGCGGCAGCAGCTGCTCCATCGTCTGGCAGCGTCTGTAGGACCTCGATGAGCTCCTTCCTTGCACGGGTGCAATCGCTGAGATAATTCCACAGGCTAATATCAGCCTTGGTCCGCTTGAGCTGTTCAATTGGGAGATATTTGTTGGTGCTGACGCTGGTGCGAGAGACGAATCGTCGATTTGGAGCGGACTCCGCTTCAGCTCGACGACGAATCTCCTCCTGTGCTTCGTCCACGGTCCACCCTTGGGGGTCTCGAACTGGGTTTTGACGGGTGCGCTTGATCCCGGTCAAGGCGAAGGAGGCTTCGTCAGCCTCGAGGAAGGCAGCGATAGGGGATTTCTCCGCCACCGTCTGCATCATATTGCTCTGACGGGCCATCCTCTTGTTGGGACATTCGCGGGCAAAATGCCCAGGTGCTTTACAAATATGACAAGTGACTGGTCCAGTCTTCCTCTCATACGTCCTGGCTTCGGGCGGTCGACTGGGTTGGGTCATGAGATGAATACGCAGCTTCTTCATCTCTTCCGCCAGAAGGTCCGCTCCAGCCTTCGTGTCCTCCTTGAACATGACCTTTTTGTTGTCCTGGGTAGTCCCTCCATATGCCGTATAATAGAGGATTGCCGCCTCTATGTCATTCAGCTCCTTCGGGCATCGGGATAGAATCCGCTCGCGCAAGATGGTATCATTGAGGGCGTTGATGTAAAGTTGCAGGATGGATTCAGTCGGATACCCAACGAGATCTTTGGTGACGCACTTGAACGTATCCAAGAGCTCCAAAGCCGTCTGACCCGGCTTTTGCTTGATGCAGTGGAGAGCAGTGATGAGCTCGGCGCTGTACGTCGCCATCCAGCGAGCTTTGAATGCTGCTACAAACTCTTCAACCGTCTTGAAATTCTGGGCCTCGGCCCACATGAGAACGTTGCCGTTCAAATTGTTGAGGATGATATCGAGTTTGCGCTCGATCGTCGTGTTGTCATCGCAGTCAACACGCAGGCGTCGTTGAATTCGGGTGAGGTACGCCTGAGCCTCCATATACATCTCAATCTTGGAAGCGTTGGCCATGATCGGATCGTTCTTCTCGCCAGAAGGGAGAAGTCGGGTTACAGTGATACCACCGAAATAGATGAATTTTTCTGTTTTTCTTGTACTCCTCCGTTTGTCTGCTCTGTCAATGTCGGCCCTCGATCGACTCGTTCCTTATATCCTTCCAGTACACAAAGGGGGTCTTGACCAAACGCCTCGAGCTCCCAACCGGCCTTGCCAACCGGATACACGCCTCGGTCTCAGGCCTATTGAGCCTAGGGGATCCCACACTGACCACCCACTGCCAGGGGTCAGTTGGGAACAGGCCTCACCGCCCGTCTGAGAGATGCCAAGTGTTGGACCGTTGGTTGCAAGGGAGTGACTCAAGAACCTTTGTATATCAACGGATGATACAAGAGATTGATGCCAGATAATGAATGACGATACAAGCTAGGATCTCTATATTTATACTCCGGTCCATGAGACGGTAACTCCTTATTTTGGACTCGGATCGCTACGCGGCTTGGCAACCGCATAAAACCGTCAGTCATCCGAGCTGCCGATCGGTCGCGTACGGTTATAAACCGTCCGCAACCTCCAATCACCCGAACTCAAACGGTTGATCCCGCATACAGCCAGCCTGTATGCGCCCGATGTTTCTGACGATTCCTCTCCTCGTCATCTTGCCAGCGGTTGCAAACCGCAAGTAACCTCCGGGGAAAGCCGAACCGTCGCGGCTGGTACATCCGCGTTACAGTGCGGTCTAAGGGGAATGCTGTGAGGGGCAACCTTGAAGTGCATGTAGCTGACATGAAGGGTATGTGCTGGTACCATGGGTATGTGCTGATACCATGGGTTTGTGCTGATACCATGGGTATGTGCTGATTCCATGGGTATGTGCTGGTACCATGGGTATGTGCTGATACCATGGGTATGTGCTGGTACCATGGGTATGTGCTGATACTATGGGTATGTGCTGATACCATGTGCTGATACCATGGGCATGTGCTGATACCATGGGTATGTGCTGATACCATGGGTATGTGCTGGTACCATGGGTATGTGCTGGTGACATGGGTATGTGCTGAATGATATGCTGCACTTCCCATGTGCATGCGTACTGCAAGCATCTTCAGCCATCCATGCACGGAAAGAGCCTCCAATCTATGGGCGTTTGATCCTTGTCCTTGCCAGCTGATTCACGTGGGCAAGACTAAGGGAGTTCAAGCCGGCATCGATGGTTTCAGGCGAGCTCAACAACAAAGTGCCTAAGTGCCAAACCACCAACAAAGGCCAATGTGCCAAGTTACCAACAAATGCCAACGTGCCTGATACCTCTTGTTTCCTCGTGTGTGTGGACCCAGGCGAGCTGACTCTCCTCTACTCCATGATCCCCTTGGCCTTCGTTGGTGGTTCCCTCCTGCCCGGTCTGGGCGGCCACAACATCGCTGAACCGGCCGTCTCCTCCTGTGCCGTCCTCACAGGTGGGTTCTTTCCGTGCTGCTGCTCGGCATTTCGTTTTCAAGTTGACCCCCTGCCCCCCTCAAATTGATCCATTTTCATTTCCGGATTTTTGCTTCTCTGCGCTGTTTCACCCACCTCTCTCGCTCTCTCCCCTCCACGCTGTTCCAGGGCCCCACCTTGGCCACTTCGCCTCTGTGCTGCAGCAGCTGCAGCAAGTGGCGCCCCTCTCCGTGTGGCAGGTATGGCGTGGGTATGGGATGGGATGGGATGGGATGGGGTGGGGTGGGGTGTGGTGGGATGGGATGGGATGGGATGGCAGGTATGTCAGAGGCATGCGAGGAGGGGGGAGATTGTACAACTTGGAAGGAAGGAGGGTGGTGAAGGGAATGGGTGTTAGGTTGGAAAAAGACAGGAGCAGAAACATTAGACAGCAGCATCAGGCACCAGAGAATGAGACAGGGTGCTGGTGTCACCTTCCCCCTGCAACCAATCCCGTCCCACCAGGTGGCGGACGAGCACGAGTTGCAGACAGCAGTGGAGCAGCTGCTGACCAATGAGGCGCAGCTAAACGCCCGGCGAATCGCGGCGCAGCGAGCAGCAGCATCAGGCACCGAGGGGGTGGTGGACGAGGTGTGGGAGGCCCTTGACTTCGCAATTCTCCAAAGAATGACCGTCCCTGTGGTCGCATCATCGGGCGACCGAGCAGCAGCAGCAGCGGCAGCAGCAGCTGCTCTGGAATTGAGGGAGGATGGACCCGATGCGGAGCTCACAGGTGTGCTGCAAGCTAGGCTTGATCGGATCGAGTCGTTTCCTGCGGCCGCGGGGGCTATGCATGGTGCAGGGGTGGATGGGGCTCCCTTGATATCTCCGGCAGGTGCGAGCCAGGGTGGAAGTGCAGGGGTCTCTGTCACCAGCCCGACTACACCCATGTCGAGGGAGGGTTGGAGTCGTAGCGGTGCTGGGTCTAATTCTGGGGCTAAGTTCAAGTCAAGCAGTGTGAAACAGGCAGTGGATGGGGGCAAGGCCGATGGAACAGGCGGCCCAGGTGATGAGCTAGCAGTGCGGCTTCAAGCCAGAATCGACAAGATTGAGACGGATCCCAAGTGTGATGCCCTGGATGGTCCCAAGTGACTTCACTTGTACTGTAGTAGGCTCCGCTGTTTGGAGGATGTGTTGGATATGCAACCTTTCAACTTTCGACTGGATGGACTTGTGGTGTTCAGTGTTTATAATCTCACATTTATTATGTTCCTGTACAGCACATGCCGATACATATTACACAACCCTACTCAAAGATATTGCAGTACTGGTCAAGTAACAAAACTCACATGAGTGTACATACTGAAACCCAGTCACGACCTAAACAGGGAAGTGCATGCTACTAGGTACATATCATGTAAGTCACACCGGACAACTAGTTATAAGTGAAACTGCAGAGTAGTGCACTGACTGATTTGGGCTGACAACACAATGAGTGACGAGGCAACATATAGGAACACCTAGTCTAATCTTAGTCGTAAGATCAGACGGTTCGGGAAAGATATTGAAGGGTGCAAATATGTTGAAGAGAGGTCTGGAGACGGACCGAAGGTTCGGAGAGGCTTCAACTTGTACGCGCTGTAAGAAAAACACATTTCCACACGATTTGTACCTTACAGAATGACCCAAACTGGTCAGCAAACCGAACTGGTCGGCTCGTCCAAGCGTACCTGCAACGCTTACCTTCCAAACCACAGCTGAAAACCAGACATTCCCAACCTTGATTTCCACGTGGCTCCCCCTCACGCCTCCAGTACAACGTCGGTGGTCGGCTCGGTGCGAATCAAGTGAGAGGCACGGGCTTGTGGCTGTCAGGCAGCTCTGATAGGGCAAATGCCGTGTGTGACTGTCTGGGGGGTGGTTCGTGTTTCGCCAAGGAAGCAAAAGGTGAGGCTTGAAGCGAGCGGCATCTTTGTTCAATTCGCTTCTCTTTGCTCGGAGTGGATATTCCACATTCTGCCATCACCCCAGATTTGCTCTACTTGCTCCATAGGTACTCTCAACTCAGCTTTTGTAGTCCGACTTTCCTTAGACTCGGACACTCCCATCACACGACTTCAATTGGCACTTATTAGCGTGAAGCCATCCAATTCGCGGTCGAGCTCTCGCTATCCCAAATTCTCCGACGGGCTTCCCGCAAGTGTCGAGCCGTTTTAGGGTCATGATTGTAGACGACTTCGATCAGCCTAACGACGCCTACCTTTCCCGTGCGCCCGAGGATGTCATTATTTCGCGAAACGGCGCGGTGCTGGGAAAAAAGACCGTCCTGAAGAGCGACCACTTCCCCGGCTGTCAGAACAAACGCCTTTTGCCGCACATCGACGGTGCTCCGAATTTCCGACAGGTTCGCTTCCATCAGTGCTTAATTACCGTGATCATGTTCGAACGTCGTCATATTTCTGACATATTTCATAGGTTGCGCCGACATATTTCTGTAATTCTTTTCCAATCGTCATCGGCCTAAGTCACTGACCTTTGCTCATCCTCATCCCGGGTTGGCCTTTTATTTCATTTCTTTCTTTTGTTTTTGTTTTTTTAGATTGCGGACCTGCCTGTGTACGGCGTGGCGATCCCGACAGTGGAGGGCATTCGGAACGTGCTGCAGATAGTGGGAGCTTCGCGCAATGGCGGACGCCATGTCCTCTGGCACAGCATGCGGGAAGAACCGGTAATTTTCTCCGCATGAAGATTTTCATAATGAATTTCACAGTTTGAGGATAGCATCGATCCGAGAGCAGCATTGACCGTTAAGAAAAGCGTTCACCGTTTCAGAATAGCACCAACATTTTGGATAGCTTCTGACATTTCAGGACAGCATTGAACGGTTCAGGATAGAATTTAGATATATTGGAACGTTTCAGGAGAGCATTGAACGTTTCAGGACTACATTGAACGTTTCACGATAAATTGGAGCGTTTTAGACTAGCATTGATCGTTTTCGCCATCATAGTGAACGTTACAGGACAGCATTGAACGTTTTACAGTAGAATTGAACGTTTCAGGATAGCATTGGAAGTAGCAGGAGCATAGAAGAATTAAGACAGGATAGCATGGAGTTTTCGAGATTGCCTTTTTGTTCCAGGATAGCACCGATCGTTTCGGGATAACCTTCACATATTGCGGATAGCACGAAGTATCTCAGGGTAGTAACATTTCAGGCAACAGAGCTAGGGTTCGTGTTCCCAGTCTTGTCTAAGTCTAACCTGACCTCCTCATGTCACGCCTTTTCTATTCCGTGCCGCCCTGCCATGGCATGGCAGGTCATCTACATCAACGGTCGCCCCTTTGTGCTGCGTGAGGTTGAGCGGCCATTCACCAACCTCGAGTACACTGTGAGCATGCCAGCTTTTCTCGTCTGGTGAACATGGTGATTTGGAATGGACGAGAGAGCATTGTACTGTCTGTACGGGCAGCTCTAACTAGAAGCGCTTGCTTGCATGGGCAGGGCGTAGAGGCGGGGCTCAGGTTCTGTAGGACACATTGGAGGTGCTATCTGCTCTGATAGGCAGCCTGAGCTCACGTCGATGCTCCATGTGCTGTGAACTCAACCTTGTGCTGCCGAAGCCTGTCGTTGCTGTGCTGATGTGGTTTGCTCTGAGTGTGCGTGTGGCTGGCTGTCAGGGCATCAACCGGGCGAGAGTGGAGCAGATGGAGGCTCGGCTGAAGAAAGATGTACTTCGAGAGGCGGCCAGGTGAGCCAGGAGTTTTGGTTGGTTGGGGTGGTAGCCATGTGTTTGCGTTGCACAAGACTCATTGGGGATTCAATGTTTTGGTGAGAGAAAAAGCAATAAAGCACTTTGGTATGTCACGGAAGCACGTCTTGCATTAGCTTAGGCTAACATTTTGATTTATTTCAGGTTCAAGGTCCTCGTAGGCTTAATCTGCTGTGTGTTTGAGGTCCCCATAATCCTCCATGCTCATTTACTAGCATGCCTGCCTCCATGCATCCCTTGTGCTGCTCTCACTCCTGGGTTTCTCCCTGTCATCATTGCCAGGGACTCCAACAAGATCATTGTGAGCAAGATGAGCTGCTGACAGCCAGCCAGATGGTGGACCGGTGGAAACCATCTCTGAGGCGCCTCAAGCATCCTCTCACGTGTGTGCGTGTGCGTGTGTGTCTGTGTGCCTCCCCCCTGGCATCATCACCAGGTACTCCAACAAGATCATGGTGAGCGACGAGCTGCCTGACGGCCAGATGGTGGACCAGTGGGAGCCCATCGGCCCTGACTCTGTGCAAACTCCTCTCGAGGTGACCACCTTTCCCAACCTTCAACCCATGCTAAATTTCTAAAATTTCATCCCTTGTAATGACCTGCAGGGATTTGTGCTCCAGAGTGCCGTCGTCACTCCCTCCGTTATCATGTTTTAATGTGTGGGTGATTTTATGTGTGTGCACGTGGCGTGTGTGCGTGGCATGTGTGCGTGGCGTGTGTGTGCTCCTCAAGCAGGTGTACCAGGACCTGCAGAGGGCGGGGTACAATGTGGACTATGAGCGAGTGCCAGTCACGGACGAGAAGGTGCCCGAGGAGCAGGACTTTGACTTGCTGGTGAGGCGTTGACCTGTTGGTTGTGGAAGATCTGAGCGTCTTCTTGTCTTTTCTTACTTTTCCAGTCTTAAATTTCACACTCACGCTGATGCCCTTCGTTCCTCTTCCCCTCCCTCCCTCCCTCTCGCCCTCCTACTCTCCCCCCAACCCTCTTTCCCCCCTCCCAATCCGCTATATCTATCTGTCTCTCCCTCCCTCGTGCCTTCCTTCCCCTTCCTCTCACCTCCAACTCTCCAACTTCACCGTTAAGGTGGAGAGCCTGTCAGGGGTGGACGAGTCGACGGCGCAGATCTTCAACTGCCAGATGGGGCGGGGCCGCACCACCACGGGCACCGTGGTCGCCACCCTCATCTGCCTCGCCCGCCGCTTCCCCTCCCGTCAGTCGTTTCCCCCCAACCTCAGTTACCATGCCCCTGCCCTCAGTTGACATGCCCCTGCCCTCAGTTGCCATGCCCCCGCCCTCAGTTGCCATGCACCCGCCCTCAGTTGCCATGACCCCGACCTCAGTTGCCATGCCCCCGCCCTCAGTTGCCATACCCCCGCCCTCAGTTGCCATGCCCCCGCCCTCAGTTGCCATGCCCCCGCCCTCAGTTGCCATGCCCCCGCCCTCAGTTGCCATGCCCCCGCCCTCAGTTGCCATGCCCCCGCCCTCAGTTGCCAAGCCCCCGCCCTCAGTTGCCATGCCCCCGCCCTCAGTTGCCATGCCCCCGCCCTCAGTTGGCATGCCCCCGCCCTCAGTTGCCATGCCCCCGCCCTCAGTTGCCATGCCCCCGCCCTCAGTTGCCAAGCCCCCGCCCTCAGTTGCCATGCCCCCGCCCTCAGTTGCCTTGCCTGCCCCTTGCCGTCCCATGCCATGCCATCTCCCCTCTCCACAGTTGCCGTGTTCCCTGCCCACTCTCAGCCTGTGTTCTAGTCCTCTCAAAACGCATCATTTGCCACGCAATTGAGTTGCCCCCCTGTCCCAGTCTTGATCTCCCAAGTGTCCTTTCCTAGTATCCTCTTGTCCCGCGGTACTTCCCTGCCATTTTGCTCTTCCCGTGAGGTATGAGGACCAGATGCAGTGGACTTGTAGGATCAGTGAGCAGGCTGCTCGTGGTCAAGATGCCAGTGTGCTCGTCTTCTGACTCGCATCCAATTGGTGTGCTGCGCATGCGTGCTTGCAGGCATCCTCTCCCCCTCTGCCGGCGCCTCCATGCTGGCCAAAGCAGCGTCAACAGCTGGCCACGAGCCAGGGGGGGCCGCCAAGCTGCTGCTGGGCACCCCAGGCAAGGCACACGGCAGTGCAGGGGGGGCTGCAGAGGGCGCAGCAGCCGCAGGGGCAGGAGGGGCAGGAGGGGCAGGGGCAGCAGCAGCAGTGGAGGCGGCAGAGGTGCAGGCGGAGGTGGATCGGGTGCTGCTGGCGGGGCAGTACGCTGTGATCCGCTCCCTCACCCGCGTGCTGGAGGCCGGCAGCGAGAGCAAGCGACTCACCGACCTCGCCATTGATCACTGCGCCGCCATGCAGGTGCGAACACCCACTGACTCCTCAGTCGAATCAAAGGCACGCAACCCTCAGCCTGGTTGCCTTTTGAACCTGCCCAAAAGTCCGCTCTTCTCCTCGTCCCACCTGCCCTCCCTGACTCTCCTACGGTCCTATCCGCTCCCCCCCACTCCCCAGAATCTCCGAGAAGCCATCCTGGGCTACCGCAACCGCATTCACCGCCACTCGGACGAGAAGCGGCGGCAGGCTGCCCTGAGCCTGTTTGTGGCGTACCTGGAGCGCTACTACATGCTGCTCTGCTTCTCCGCCTTCCTGCACTCCCTCACCTCGCCCGCCGCCTCCACCCCCTCCTCCATCACCTCGCAAGCCCTGCCCTCGCCGTCAGTATCCCACAGCAAGGCGGATGACGCGCCCTCGCATGTGAGAGTGCAGGAGACGCCCTCCAAGGAGCGTTTCTCGCTGCTGGACGGGCTGGCAGCCACACAGGCGCTGAGGGAGGCAAAGGGGGGCTTTCAGAGGTGGATGAAGGCCCGGCCTGAGCTCTACAGCATTCTGCGCAGGTACGCTCCACTCCTCCCTCCACGCAGCAGCATTTCGAGGCGCTATTCGCTGGCGTTTTCCTCCTGTGCTCTCGTATTTTCCAGGCGTTCTAGAAGTTAACTGCAGAAGGGCAATCTGCTGGTGTGCTTGCTCGATTCTCAGAGCTCTTCTCCCGCTGCTCCCATCCTCGCTATGATCCGTGACTCCCTTCTCCGTGGCAGGTTACTGCGAAGAGACCCAATGGGAGCGCTGGGGTACGCCCACCCAACGCAGGCCGCCATGCCCCGGGTCCTCTCCCTCTCCCACCTCCCACTTCCTCCTAGCGGCTCTGCTGTCTCGCCCAGCGCCCATGGCCCAGCACGTCCACCTATAGCACCAGCCGCATCAGGAGCAGCAGCAGTTGCAGCAGCAGGAGCAGCAGCGGGAGAGGCAGGGGGGGAGGAAGCAGTTGGGCGGAGTGGGGAGGGCATGGAGGTGGAGGCGGGGGACGTGGCTGGAGAGGCGTTTCGCATGGCGGAGATGGCTGCTGCCATTGTGGAGGCGCGATCAGGGGCCATGCTGAGCAAGCAGGTGCGATGAGGGGCCATGCTGAGCAAGCAGGTGCGATGAGGGGGCATACTGAGCAAGCAGGTGCGATGAAGGGCCATGCTGAGCAAGCAGGTGCGATGAGGGGCCATGCTGAGCAAGCAGGTGCGATGAGGGGCCATGCTGAGCAAGCAGGTGCGATGAGGGGCCATGCTGAGCAAGCAGGTGCGATGAGGGGGCATACTGAGCAAGCAGGTGCGATGAGGGGCCATGCTGAGCAAGCAGGTGCGATGAGGGGCCATGCTGAGCAAGTAGGTGCGATGAGGGGGCATGCTGAGCAAGCAGGTGCGATGAGGGGGCTTGCTGAGCAAGTAGGTGCGATGAGGGGCCATGCTGAGCAAGCAGGTGCGATGAGGGGGCTTGCTGAGCAAGTAGGTGCGACGAGGGCCATGCTGAGCAAGCAGGTGCGATGAGGGGGCATACTGAGCAAGCAGGTAGGCAAGCAGGTAGGCATGCTCAGCAAGAAGCTAATTCCGGAGTTAATTCAAGAGAAACGTTTTTACTTCCTCTCCCTTCCTCCTTTCCATCTCCCTCCCTCCCCCACCCCCTCTCCTGCAGACCGTGCTCAAGTCCGACCACTGCCCCGGCTGTCAGAACCTCTCCCTCCCAGAGCTGCTGGAAGGCGCCCCCAACTTCCGCCAGGTGGTGGGCTTCCCCGTCTATGGCGTCGCCAACCCCACCGTGGACGGCATTCGCGCTGTGCTGCGCCGGGTGGCGCAGGGAGGAGGGGCGGGGGCGAGAGACGGGGTGGGGACGGGAGGAGTGGGGAGGGAGGGCGTGGAGGGGGCGGGTGGGGAGAGGAGGGTGGTGTGGCACAACATGCGGGAGGAGGCAACGGTGTACGTGAATGGGAAGCCGTTTGTGCTGCGCGAGGCAGAGAGGCCGTTCAAAAACATGCTCGAGTACACGGTGAGACACATGCTTGGTGAGCGGAATGCACGGTGAGACAGGCTGGAGTGCACGGTGAGGCAGGGGTGCAAGATTCTCGGTGAGAGGAATGCTCAGTGAGAAATGCGCAGTGAGAGGAATGTACAGTTAGAGAGTTGCACAATGGGGGATCACATGGTGAAGGATTATGGAACATGGCGTGAGAGGATGAAGCATGGTCGTAAACACATTGAGAGCAGGATCATTTGGCTTATTATTGCTGAACCCATCCGTGCAGCAGAGAGGCTGCTGAGAAAGGTAGATTTCTGCACAGTACTCCACCACTACATCACTACTGTCACCTCACCCATTAGCTCACCATACCATGCCATCCCCACCCCTCTCCCCCCACCGGCAGGGCATCGAGCGGCAGCGCGTGGAGCGCATGGAGGCGCGGCTGAAGGGCGACGTGCTGCGGGAGGCGCAGCGTAGCGGAGGGATGGTGGTGGTGGACCACGAGAGCGACGCGGGCGAGCTCTTCCACGCGCTCGAGCCTGTGCAGGGCAGCGCGCAGGGCTGCTCTGTTCAGACACCCCTGGAAGTCTTCCGCATGCTGCAGGTGGGTTTCCGCAGGCTGCCCGGACTTGCTTGTCACTGGTCCCTCAGTCCATTCTTTTCAACAGTACCTTTCTTTTCTCTTGCCTATTCACCGCACCCTCTGCCCTGCTGTGTCGCTCTCTCTTCCAGGAGGAGGGCTTCCGAGTGGACTATCACCGCCTGCCCACCACAGACGGGCAGCCGCCCAAGAGTCGCGATTTTGACGCCCTTGCCACCACCATCAGCAGTGCGGGCCCACATGCTGCCTTCGTCTTCAACTGCCAGGTTCGATGCTTTGGTCATGCTAGCTTCTGTTCTGTCCCTGCTGCTGCTGCTGCATGGCAGTGGATAGCTACGAACCCTCACCACCTGCGCTTGTTTCCTCAAGTTGACCAGTCCATGAGATAGTGTACATTTTTATCTTTGCTGCACCCTTTTCCCACCCTTCCATGCCCCTTGCCTTCCTTTTCGCTCCTTGCTCGTATCCGTCTGCTCCCCCTCCTGGTCCTCTTGTATCTACCTCCTGTCTTCTCCGCCTACCCCCCTCTGCTCCATCTTCCCCGCCACTGCTCCCTCTTTCACCCCTCTATGCTCTCTCTCTCTGCATGCTTCTCAGATGGGCCGAGGTCGCACCACCACGGGCACGGTCATCGCAGCCCTCGTTCTCCTTCGTTGCCTCTATGGCCGCCCCCTGCGCCTCCCCTCCCTCCCACCCCTCTCCCTCGCCCTGCCCTCTGGTTCCCACCCCTGCACCAGCCAGTCGTCCCCCCCCCGCTGCAGCCCCCACGGCGCCAGCAGCAGCACCAGCAGCGGGGAGGAGGGGGGGAGTGATAGCAGCAGCAGTGATAGCAACAGTAGTGGCAGCATTGGTAAAGCTAGTGACGGTGATGCTAATGGGGGTGACAGTAGTGATGGGATGAACCCTGACCTGGCAGGAGCTGTGGTGGGCATTGAAGAACGCAGTCCCGCACAATCGCAGGGCGTATCAAGCAGGCAGGATAAATCTTTCAACATGCAAAAGTGTTCCAACCGTCGGCGGAAACGTCGCGACCTAGGGGATGCTGAAGCTGGAGAGGGAGGAGGGAGCAGAGAAGGGGGGCCAAGAAGAGAGGGGAAGCGGAGAGGAGGTGGAAGGGGGGGTCAAGAGGGTGAGGGGGGGGGGCATGGGCGGGGTCAGGGGCAGAGGCAAGGGCAGAGGCAGGGGCGATCAGCGGACGAGTTTGAGCTGGAAGACATTCCGGTGGTGCGGAAGGTCACCCGCATGCTGGACGGCGGTGCTGCGGCGCGCAGGGCGCTGGACGGCGTGGTGGACCGCTGCGCGCAGATGCTCAACATCCGCGAGGCTATTCTCAGCTACCGCCGTGCCTTCAACATGCAGGTGGGCGTGTTTCACTCGAGCCAATTGGCAGCTACAGGTGACCATGCACGCTTTTCAACTTGCATGCGGGCGGTCAACATACAGGAGACGTTTGTTTTGAGGCGCCTCAAAGCTAGACTCAGGCGCTGGAGTCTGGAATGGGCTCAAGTCTTGTCTCAATATCTCTTTGCCCCTTCATCACATCGTCGCACACATCCACCCGCATCCACTTGGTGAGGCCCGCACCATGCCCCATGGTCCACTGCATCCCACTCAATACATGCTCGCCGTGCTCCCCCTAGGTTCGCTTCTTCCTTCTCCACCACCCTCTTGCACACCCCCACCATCCTTCTCCAACACCTTTGCACCGCCCATGCTGGCAGGACGCAGACGCGCGCACAAGGCAGAGCGCTCTGAGCCGCGGAGCCGAGTTCCTCGAGCGCTACGTGATGCTCATCGCCTTCGCTGCCTACCTCTCCTCCCCCTTCTTCCGCCCCGCCGCCCCCTCCCTCTGGCCGCCCTCCTCCTCCCCCTCCCCCTCCGCACTCTCCCTCCCCCCATCGTCCTCCCATAGCGCTCTGCCCCGCCTCTGCCCTGCCCCACTTGCTGAGACTAGCAAGACGGTTTCTTCAGCTGCTGCTGCCGCCAGTGGGGAGGCTGCAGGCTCAGAGGCAGGAGAGGGAGGCGCAGAGAGGGAGAAGGGTGAAGGAGCAGAGGAGGGACAGAAGGAGGCAGAGAAGGTGGAAGGAAAGGGAGTTAGAGAGGGAGGGGGAGAGGGAGAGGGAGAGGGGTGTGGAGCGGATGTGGCGGTGAGTTTCAAGAAGTGGCTGAAGCAGCGGCCTGAGATCCGGCAGATGAAGTGGGGCCTGCGCCTGCGCCCTGCCCGCCTCTTCACCATTCCGGTGCGCTCATCCGGCTCTGATAACCTCTTCTCCAAGCACGTGTCCCATGCTCTATCCCCTTTCGGCATGGATGCCGATGATGCACGGGATCCCTCTCCATTCCACCCCCTGGTATCCCCTCCCATCTCATACCATCCTATACCATTCCTGTTCTTCAAAGTTTTCTGTCCCTCCCGTGCCGCCTCGCACATCCCATCCCATGTTCCACAGGAGGTGGGAGTGCGGCTGTGGGACAGCGACGCCAGTGCCGCAGGGTCGGTGGACGAGAGGGAGGCGGAGGATGCGGTGCTGCGTGCCCGGCGGGGCTCGGTGCTGGGGCGTGGCTCCATCCTCAAGCTCTCGCTCTTCCCCGGCCTGCAGCCCTCCGCGCTCAACTACTCCATCCAGATCCCCCACGTCCCTAACTATTTCGAGGTCAGTTGCTCCCACCCTCCTCCACGCTGTGCTTCCTGCTCTCTCTCCCCCCTCCCCTTCTCCCCCCCTCTCCCCGTTCTCCGTATAGAGGTTCCCTTCTCCCTTCTGCATCCGCCGCTTACTTCATTTGCCATCTCCCCTTGCTCTGTTCAGCTGCATGTTCTTCATGCACTTGGCTACCCCGTGCACAATGCCCACCAGGCACACCCACCTTTCGTCTCTCGGTCCCACCACCGTATTTCTCTCCCCCCACCACCTCTGCCCCTCTCCCCCACCACCCTATTTCTCTCCCTCACCCGGCGACTGGTTACCCCGTGCACAGCGTGGCCACGCCAACAACAGTGCAGGCGCTACTTCATCCCCCCCTTTGCCTCGTCCCTCTCCCTTTCTCTCCTCCCCCTGCCCTCATTCTACCACCTGCATCCCACCAGGCGCTCGCCTACCCCGTGCACAGCATGGCCACGCCAACAGTACTTCGTCCTCCCCTCACCCCTCTTCGCCCCGCCCCGCCCTCACCCCACCACCCTCACCCCACCTCCCTCTCTCCACCAGGCGCCCGGCTACCCCGTGCACAGTATGGCGACGCCCACAGTGCAAGGCGCACAGGCCGTGCTCTCCCACCTGGGCGCCGTGCCGCAGCCACTGCCGCCTGCAGCAGCAAATGGGGGAGGCGGTGGTGGGGGGCAGCAGGCATCCTCGGAGTCGACTCAAAAGACAGCCCAGGAGGCTGGCAGAAGGGGTGGAAGCAGGGGCGGGGAAGGGGGAGGTGGGGGAGGTAGCAGCGTCTGGGAGGGGAGTCGAGGAGTGGAGGTGGTGATAGTGGACCTGAGGGAGGAGGCGGTGGTGTACATCCACGGCAAGCCCTTCGTGCTCCGAGACGTGGACCAGCCAGCAGCGTCACTCAAGCACGTGGGCATTGCAGGGAGCGCTGTGGAGGCCATGGAGGGGCGCCTGAAGGAGGATATTCTGAGGGAGGCCGCCCGGTGTGGCGGCATGGTGCTGCTGCACAAGGAGAGGCCCAGAGAGGGGCATGCGGGCACGCAGGGGCAGGCAGAGGGGGGTGGGCAGGTTGAAGCAGGGAGGGAGGGGCTGGTGGATGCAGGGAGAGAGGGTGTAGAAATGGGTGGCACTGTAGCAGGTGGAGAGGAGGCTGCAGCTGGTGCTGGGGAAAGTGGAGAGAACGGCTCTGGTGGTGGTGGTAGCTTGGCTGCCGTTGCGTCTGCTGGTGCTGCAGGTGGCTCTGCTGCTGCTGCTGCTGCTGCTGCTGCTGCTGGTGCAGAGTTGACTGCAGGAAGCACAGCTTCCCACGTGCCTGCATCTGGTGCACCTATTGCTGTGGGCCCTACGGAGATCATCGGAGTGTGGCGGGCGGTGGGGCTGGACGATGTGAAGACGCCAGCAGAGGTGTACAGAGAGCTGAGGGAGCAGCAGGGGTACGCCGTGGACTACCACCGCATTCCTCTCACGAGAGAGAGGGTCCCTGTGGCCTCTGACGTGGATGCCCTTCAGCACTACATTCAACAGTAAGCCCACATCCATAGCATTAGCTTCTTGAAAAAGAGGTCAGTTTGGGAAAGTCGGAATCTAGCAGCTCGCCCTGCAGCCCTGCATGGAGTAACAAGCTCACCATTTTGTTGAGGTGTTATGATTTGGGAATTCTGAAGGGCTCCCTTGCTCCTGCAGTACCATGTCAGCCATATGAGTGCGCCATCCAGCCCTCGGCACTCACTGTGCACCACGCGTATCCCCGCACCTTCACACATTGTCCACGTCATTAACTTCTCTTCTCTTCCCTCCCTTCTCCCTTCTCTACTCCCCCCCCCCTCCCACTTCCTCCCTCTGCTCCAGCCGTCCCCCCAATGTGAAGTTTCTGTTTGTCTCCCACACGGGCTATGGCGCCATCGCCTATGCCATGGCGCTCACATGCCTCCACCTGCAGGCCACCGCACCCCGGTCTACCACAGGCCACTCCCCCACTGTCCAGTCTGCCACACGCCAACCCGCCGCTACACAGTCTGCTGCACGCCACTCGCCCTCCCACCCACCACCTGCATCCACCACTGCTGCTGCTGCCGCGACACCTGCAGTAGCCCCCAGTGGCAGTGGTGGTGCTGGCAGTATGGGGGGGACGAGGGCGGCGCTGCAGCGGGGGGAGTACCGGAATGTGCTGCAGCTGGAGCGCGTGCTGGTCAAGGGGCCGCAGAGCAAGCGATTGGTCGATGACGTGGCACACAGGTGGGTGGTGCACTGCTGGGTGGTAAGGGGCATGCTGTGGTGCATTGGTGGGCAGTGCACTGGTGGTGCACTGGTGGGGCGGTGCACGGGTGGGCACACTGTGGAGTTGGTGGGGATTGAGAGGTGTGGTATGGGGGTCGTCAAATGGGGAGGAAGAAGAGAAGGGAGAGAACAAGAGAAGCATGCCTGAATTGCAAGTCAGGCAACTGGGAGGGAGGGCTGTCTGCTGATCACGGTTGAGTTGCTTGCCGCTTTCAACAACTTCCCTTTGTCCTCGTTTTGCCTATCCCTGTGTTTTATCCCCACTATTATTTTCTTTTTCTTTTTCCTCCCAGGTTGTTGGCAGTGGGGCGCATAGTGGAGGATGTGGTGGATTACCGGCAGGCAGGGGATGCAGTGGGGTGTGTGTGAGGTGCTTCATTTTCTGTTCGCTATTACCCTGGCAGGTTGCTGGCGGTGGGGCGCATAGTGGAGGACGTGGTGGAGTACCGGCGGGCAGCGGATGCAGTGGAGGGGGAGGACACAGTGGACCGGGACCGGCGGGCCGCGCTCACTGAGATGGGGCTAAAGGCGCTCAGGTATGCCGCTACCTGCACAGCTATGTCGTGCAGTAGTGCAGTAGTGCAGTAGTACAGTAGTGCAGTAGTGCAGTAGTGCAGTAGTGCAGTAGTGCAGTAGTACAGTAGTACAGTAGTACAGTAGTGCTGTAGTACAGTAGTGCAGTAGTACAGTAGTGCAGTAGTACAGTAGTACAGTAGTGCAGTAGTACAGTAGTGCAGTAGTACAGTAGTCAGTAGTGCCGTAGTACAGTAGTGCAGTCGTGCAGTAGTGCAGTAGTGCAGTAGTGCAGTAGTGCAGTAGTGCAGTAGTGCAGTAGTGCAGTAGTGCAGTAGTACAGTAGTGCAGTAGTACAGTAGTACAGTAGTGCAGTAGTACAGTAGTGCAGTAGTACAGTAGTGCAGTAGTGCAGTAGTGCAGTAGTGCAGTAGTGCAGTATTGCAGTAGTGCAGTAGTGCAGTAGTGTAGTGCAGTAGTGCAGAAGTGAAGTAGTGCGGTAGTACAGTAGTATAGTTATGCTACCGTCAGAGGTAAATTTCCTATGTCCTTCCCTCCTCTGCTTCCCTCCCTCGTTCCCTCTGTGCAGGAGGTACTGCTACCTCATTGCATTCCGCTCCTACCTCTTCTTTAGAGCTTCGGCTAGCAGCGCTGCCAGCAGCAGCAAGGGAAAGGCAGCAGACGAAGCAGGTGGGAAGGGTGGGGCAGCAGGACTCAGTGGGGAGTTGTTTGGTTCGTGGGTGGCCCAGAGGCCCGAGATAGAGCACATGCTGCAGAACCTTGTGCTGGAGTGAAGGTCAGAGTGAAGGGGCGTGTGTAGAGTGGAGCAGGGCAATGGATTGGTAAGTACAGATGGGGGGAGGGAGGGAGCAGGATGCATTTGAAAGACCTTAGGCACGTGGGTGGCTCAGAGGCCCGAGATAGAGCACATGCTGCAGAATTTGGTGCTGGAGTGAAGGGCTTTGTCTGTCCTTGGAGTGGAAGCAGTGAAGGGGCAAGATGGTCTGGATGTAACGAGTAGCCTTGCCTCTGCTCTACTGTTCGCTAGGATCTCTTGTCGAATAGGATGTACATTTCGATCTGTACATTAAAAGGTAGTTTATGACTAATTTATTGGATCGTGGGCCTTGTTGTGCGGCTCAGCTTGCCGCCATCTGTTGCCTCAGTTATTGTTGTCCAACCTAGAGTGCACTGCTGGTTACGTGAGTGAGGTGGAAGAAATTTGTTTGGATTTCTGGGATGCAGCCAGATATGTGTTTTAGGGTCTATCTAAAACCATATACAGTACGGAGGGTCAATACGGTAAGATGCTTTGAAAATAAACGTCCTGAGTGGTTTCTTGTAGATATGCGAATTAAATGTTATCGTGACGAGTATTCGCTCCCAGTAACATTCGCTAAAGCAACCAGGTAGAGGGTACAATGGCAGGAGTTCGCTCAGGGTGTCCTGACCAAACCAGCTCTCTGCGCTTCGCATCCCGACATGTGCGGCACCTGTATGGGGCAAACCTCTTCCATAAAAAGTACTGTTCATTTTCTCATTCTAAGCCTCCGATTGGTTCTGTTCTGCTCTCGCCTCGGACTGTTCAACCTGATTGAGTGCGATTCGGCTGCTTTCCAACCTTGCGCCGCGACTCGCAATCTGATCCAGCGAAATTCCCGCTGCGTGAGCAACCTCCTTTCCAATGCACGATTGATCCAATCCAGCCCAACGCGCTCAGTACTCGGGGAGCTACAAATTTAGCATCCAGCCTCCGGACTCGAAACAGCAAGCAGATAAGCAGTCAGAAGTGGGTTCTAAATCAGCAATCTCTCTATCTTATAACTTAATATTTACTAGTGCAAAGTAGATACTGCCCAGCACTGAATCTCAGATTACCCAGAACCATGGCGCGCCTCTTACTCCTAGCGTCGCTCGCATTACTACTAATCTCCGCGTCAGCAGAAACCGTGACCACAGGACCCAACAACCCCTCAGTTTCCCTCGACAAGGCCCTCGGCGCGAACGGCGTGGCGACGGACGTCCCGAAGGGCATCGAGCAGGCGGCGGCGGACGGCAAGCTGGACACGTTCAAGGGCACGACGGTGGTTAGCCCCAGCACCGACAGCATGCTCCTGGTAGACGTAAAAAAGGCCGGGTGGAATGCGATGAAATGCCACAAGGATTTGGGCGCGCCCGGGCAAGGTGCGTGCACGCCCGCCAACTGCAGCAAGGGTGGCATCCCCGCCAAGTGGAAGACCGCGAATCTGCTGAAGAACAAGCTGGGCATTGAGATGTACGTGAAGGGGAATCCGTTGACGCTGAAGAAGGCGTCCCCGCAGACGTGCTGCAACACGTGCGCGGCTTACAAGAGCTGCACGTACTGGCAGTACATCCCCGATATAACCATCGACGGCAAGAAGACGGAGGGCGCGTGCTACCTCGTGCACGACGATATTGATTACACGTGCGGCGAGCTCACCGCGCAGTACGCGACCGACTCGAAGCCGCTCTCGCTGCAGGTGCGTACGGGCGGCGAGTGCAACCCGCGCGCGAACGTCGTCAACGACCCGCATCTGGTGGGCGCGTTCGGCACGCACTTCGACTTCAACGGCCGGCCGGACAAGCCATTCTGCCTGCTGACCGACAAGGACCTGCACGTGAACATGCTGCTCCGCGGATACTATAGCGAGGATACCGAGAACGCCGCGCTCGTGGTGGACGGCAAGGCGGTGCACACGTGGATCAAGGAGCTCGGTATAGTGTGGTTCGCTAAGGGCGCGGATCACAAGCTGCGCGTGGCTGCCCGCGCAGGGAAGCAGCAGGAGCGCGGCGATGGGTTCGTGAAGACGATCGAGATCGACGGCGAGGAGATCCCGAGGATGACCGTCGGCGACGAGGTGACATCCGAGGGCGGTCTCACCCTGCGCTTCGCTGCTCTCGAGAAGGAGGGGCCGTACGACGTGGATTACTACACGCTAAGCATCGACGGGCTTGTCGCCCTCGACCTGAGGCTGCGTGTGGCCAACCCCAAGCTGCAGACCCCCAACGACGCAGAGGCGCATATTAACGTGGGGGTTGTCGAGCTGGAGCACACTGACGACGTCCACGGCGTGCTCGGCCAAACCTACCGCCCCGACCACGCGGCACGTGCGGCGAATTTCCAGCGACTCATGGCGAACCTGCACCGGCCGGTGTCGGCTGACAGCGAGGAGGGCGTTGGGTTTCTGGACGGCACTCCGCGGTCGTACGAGTCGAGCTCGGTGCTGGCCGTGGACTGCGCCCACACCGAGTACCATCGCGCCAAGCAGCTCAGCCCCGTCGAGCAATTCCCCATGGAGCCGCTCAACTAAACGGGGGTGTGATTATATGGGTGGTGGTTGTGTGGACGGATAAAGTATTCGGAGTTGGTTTGTGGGAAATTTTGGTGGGCTGATTTTGCCCGCGATAAGCGTGCATGTGTATATGTACACCGGCCTGGAATCGGGCCTATTCTTTTGTTGTAATTGGGCTGTTGCCCATTCTTTTTATTCAAGTTTCTCATATCTTGTCCCTTCCCACCCTACAGAACCTACTACTACCTACCTACCCACCTTTCTCCACCGTTGCTGGCATGGCTTCCCCCACTCCCTCCCTTTCCACCATTATGGTCACATTCTGTGCACTTTTGAGCCTCGTTATTGTCACGTCCTGAAGGCTCTAAGCTCACATCGGCATGCCCTTCAGTAGACGACGGGACAGTAGGAGAAGCTGTGACCGTAGGGGGTCCAGGGCAGTGACACGTGCAGGTTTCAAAAAGCAGGTGAATGGTGTGAGTGCATGGGTTGTGGAAGGGGACGAATGGACAGACGCAGTGGTCCTCATAGTGACCACTGCTGCTAGAGGGATGGGTGGGATGTTGGGGAGGGGTGGTAATGGCATGGCAGGTGGGGAGGGATGGTGCATGCATGGCAGGTGGGGAGGGATGGTGCATGCATGGCAGGTGGGGAGGGATGGTGCATGCATGTCAGGTGGGGAGGGATGGTGCATGCATGGCAGGTGGGAAGGGATGGTGCATGCATGGCAGGTGGGGAGTGAGGTGAGGAGTGGAATGCTAAGGAGGGGGGATGAGGTGAGGAGCGGGAGGGAGGGGGGATGAGGTGAGGAGTGGGGGGGAGGGGGGATGAGGTGAGGAGTGGGGTGGAAGTGGGGATGAGGTGAGGAGAGGGGGGGAGGGGGGATGAAGTGAAGAGCTGGAGGGAGGGGGGATGAGGTGATGAGCGGGAGGAAGGGGGGATGAGGTGAGGAGCGGGAGGAAGGAGGGATTAGGTGAGGAGCGGGAGAAAGGGGGGATGAGGTGAGGAGTGAGGGGGTGAGCGCTCGTCCTCCCAGGAGAGGAGGAGATGGCTTGATGCCACTCTGCTGCCACTGACACCTCATGCTGCACACCTGGCAGCAGCATGCTGACATCCCGGTAGACCTGCTCAACTGGCACCCCCCCTGCTGCTTCCCCATGTGTAGCAACAAGCCCCTGCTTGAAGGACCGCCAGTGAAACTATCGCGGGTAAAAGGTGGATAGAAAGTATGAGGGGAGACACAAGTAGTGTGTTCTCTCTAAGAGCTGATCCAGCTAGGTTAACTATAACGAACATCACTATCCTAACTAGATATGGATGTATAGTCAATATGTTTGTTGACACACCCCCTAGCCTAGATAGAGTCAGCACACTACTAGTCTGACCTCTGGTGAAGGTAGCAAGACAACTCAGGGCAGCACTACTAGTCTAGCTACTGAGACACGAGGCCACACGGCAAGTCAGCAAGTGTAACAAGGCATGCATGTATAGCACAGCAAGTCCAAACAGGTATAGTATACATATCAGGATACAAGGTGTGGCGCTGCTACTGAGGCTAGACCAAGCTGAGTTCAAAACCGCTGATGGTCACGATGCAGTAGTGCCTTGATGAAGATATCAGCGGTGTTGGCTTCTGTGGCCACATGCACCATTCGAGCCTGGTCGCGCTGCTGCAACTCACGTAGCAGGAAGTACCGCAGCTGGATGTGGTTCGCCCTGCCCTCAAGTCGAGCCTCCTGACACAGGAGGATCATGGCCCTGTTGTCAGCACACAGGACCGGGGCAGACCTAGGCTGCTCCCCTGAGTCTGTGAGCAGGAACGTCAACCAGCGGAGCTCCTGAGCGGCCATGGCACCAGCGTAGATCTCTGCCTCACAATTGGACTGAGCTACAGACGACGACTTGGTGGACCTCCACGAGACTCCACCAGCACCAAGACAAAAATAGTAGCCTTGAGATGACCTGAGCGTCTCCAAGTCGTCAGCCCACGACGCGTATGTATGTCCAGTGAGCACCACTGGATCCCGTCCTCCTAGAACAAGCCCCAGTCCTGATGTACTCGCCAGATACTGCAGTACCCTCTTGGCAGCCGACCACTGGACTGGTCGGTGTCGCCCGTCGCAACAAAGCGGGCAAGGAGACCGAGTCAGGCCAAGTGCAGGTCATCAGGCACATGAGGCACCCCACCAGCTCTGCGTATGGACCACTAGCCTCGACTGGCTCAGCCGAAACAGGAGCAGAGAGCTTGTGATCCACAGGCAAAGGGGTAGGCTCTGCTGAGGAGAACTGGAGACTGAACCTCTGGAGGATCTGCTATACCATATGGGACTAGGAGAGTGTGATCGTGTGAGCGACACAGTCACGAAGATCTCCAAGCCCAGATAGCGCCTCAGCTCCCCCAAGTATGTACAGGTGTGCCTCGTAAGCAACTCGGCCTTCACTGAGGCCAGTGCGAGTCTATCACGAGTAGAAAATATAAGATTGTCTACGTACACTAGAATGTAGAACGGGGTTTGACCCGAGCGAATGAAGACAGAGGGGTCACCATAGGACGGAAATAACTGCAGCTCAGCAAGAGTGGTGCACAGCATATCATGCCACTCACGCGGTGCCTGGTAAAGGCCGTAGACAGGGCGGCGCAGGCTCCACTCGGTCCCAGGTAGAAAGGACCCAGAGAAGCCTAGAGGGCGCCGGAGGTAGATCTGCTTGTGTAGACTACCCTGCAAGAAAGCTGTGGAGAACTCAAGTGAATGAAGCTCATAGTCACACTGCGTGGCTGCGTGGAGGAGCACACGAAGAGCAGTCATCTTTGGGGTAGGGGAGAAGGTCTGGAAGAAGTCCACACCCTCCCACAGACTTAAGCCTCTAGCCACGTAGCGGGCCTTGAACTTCGGTGGCTCTCCAGGTGCGCACTTCACCCAGTAGATCCACATGTCATCGACTACGTTCGCCCCAGGTGGGGGAACTGCGTCGACGTAAGTGCCTGTGGATCTGTAGGATGCCATCTCAGCCTTCAGGGCCTGTGTCCACTAGGCAGTGCAGGTTCCCGACACCGCCTCAGCGTAAGAGCGCGGAACAGGGATGTCAAGAGCGTCTGGGTCGCCCTGTAGGGATACAAGCATGGAGCAAAGATGGGGTACAGCGGCAGCAAGGTAGGCCAACTCGTACTAGTTGTCTTCTAGCACATCGCTGCCAAGGGCAGGCGCACCCCCGACGGACGGAGGACGGGCAGTACGAGAGACCAAAGTGGCAGCATAGTCAAGGCGGTGGCTAGCAGCAAAGTCAGCGACAACAGTGGCAAGCGTAGAGAATGACTCAGGAGGAGCAGTAGGGTCAGTGACAAGCGACGCAATCAAGCGGGAGAGGGTAGGACAAGCATTGCGAGCAGCGTCAGAGCAAGGAGGGGGGGACTGCGCGAGCGACGACGGAGGAGGTAACGGAAGCATGGGGACTGGAGAAGCACGAGAACGGATGACCATAGGGTGGACACTAAGACCGGGAGAGACAGGCGAGCACCAGAGGGGCGACGGACATAGAGATGAAGAACTGGGGACTAGGGACGAGGGGGAACGGGGGACAAGCAAGGGAACGGAGGGTAACGCGGGGGAAAACGAGCCGGAGAGGAGTCCGGAGGAGGAAATAGCGGGCCGTAAATAGGGCCACGCACTGGAAGCAGAATGGGCGGGCGGACAGTGGAACGTGGATCAAGACCAAGTAAACAAAGGGCAGACTACAGCTGCTCCTGCTGCGGCGGCTGCGCCTGCTGCTGCTGCTGCTTCTGCGGCTGCTGCTACGGCTGCGGCTGCTCCCTGTCCTCTCCAGGACCTCTAGCGGCACCTCGACTACCACCGGCACTTTCGAAAGAACACCCCCAGGATTAGCACCCTCGGACGCACCACCCACAGAACCAGCACCCCCGGAGTTAGCACCCCCAGAAGTCGTACCCCCAGACCCAGCACCCCTAGAGTCAACACCTCCAGAACTCGCACCCCCAGAACCAACACCCCCAACACCCCCAGAACCAACAACCCCAACTCCAACACCTCCAACACCAGCACCCTCAGAACCAGCACCCTAGAACCCACTGCTCCTCGCTGCTCCAGTTGCTGCTGCGGCCGCTGAGTTTGCTATGCCGGCTGCTGGTGCTGCTGAGGCAAGGGGGGAGGCGACGGAGGTGACTGGGGTACTAAGGCTGGGGGAGGCGCCACAGGGACAGAAGGTGCGCCCCCAGTAGCTGGGCCCCCAGAGTCAGCCGACTCCCCCACAGGCGCAACCGAGGGAAGCTGAGTGGTGTGGGAGACAGCAAACTGGACCGGACGTGGCGGAAGGGGTGCGGAAGGCCGGGCAGGAACAAGGAAGAGAGGAGGAAGAGGCACAGAGGTGCTGTGGTGAGGGAAGCGCCAACTGTAGGGGAGCGTCTCGTTGAAGGTAAAGTCACGAGAGTGGTAAAAATTGTGGTGTGACGGGTGCTAGGACAGCCAGTCAGTAGCGTCAAGCGAAAACCCCAGGAAGACACAAGGAAGGGTGCCGGCTGATAGCTTGTCCGCGCGAGTGTTGCGGACGTAAGTAAGGCTGCCCCTGACGTGAAACTCTGATGCGTCACCATGAGACCTGGTCCAGAGCCGGGTCGGTGAAACTAGTGGCCGCTGGGAGTGCGGCCATAAGTTAAGCTGGTGAGCAGCGCAGCGCATGGCGAACGGCCACAGAAAATGGGGTGCACCAGCGTGGACCATGGAGGTGCGAGCTACCTCCATGACAAGGCCGATGCGTCGATCATCGACCCCATTCTGCTGCGGGGAGTCTGGTAGTGTGTACGTCTGGCGGATGCCCTCCGCATGACGGAGATGTCCTAGAGTGTCAGAGGCAAACTCCCCACCGCGGCCTACAGGCAGGCGGTGCTGAGTGTGAGCAGTAAGAAGCCACGGGAGGAGAATGGTAGGCACGTCAGCCTCCTGCTCCAACGGGAACACTGTGGTGAAGTGAGAGAAGTCGTCAGCGACGACTAGGAAGTAGCACTCCTGATTAAGACCATGGACCGAGGAAGGGCCCCAGACTTCCACGTGCAGTGTTTGTAGCGGTGTTGTGGTAGGAGAAAACGAAGAGGAGTGAGGGGCGGGGCGCTACTACCCCTCGATGCAAGACGTGCACAGTGGCGTGGCCGACACAGTCAAGGCTGGGAGACTAGTAACTAGAGCGTGCTAGGA